TTTTTTTTTTTTTTTTTTTTTGATTGCGGTGGCTCAGAGAATTACCGCACTTTCGCAAGCTTTGAAGTAGTGGTAACGAAGAGTTGGCGGAAGAAAAATTGTTCGCTTTTCCAAATCAAGAGGTGCGGCCATTTTTTACACTGCTACGTGTGTCGGTTAAAGTTGGTCGCTTGTGTGGATGAATACCTCTTCTTTTTTTGTATTTGGGGTTCCCAATCGTGTCTGGTCTATTTGCTATAGTTTCAATCTTCTCCATGCTATTTTTTTACTACCTTTTTTACCTTCTTTTTTGGCCATGTAGATATATCATAAAGGTCATTTCTATGTTTTTTTTTTTGTTTTGTGTGTGTGTTTTACTCCGTTTGTACTCTTTAGTTTCTGTGTGGACCTCGGGAGGTTGGCCGAAGTACCGACCTATATGGAAAGTTAATGAATTGGCTAGGAATAAAATGGATTAAAATTTCCTTCGAATTTTCTGCTCCACTGAGAGCTCGTCAAGTGTTACTCACAGTGTTCTTGCGTGGCATAATCCATTGCAGTATTAATGGTTGCAAGGCATCAAGAAACGACTCTTTTACTGTAATGCATCACTTCCATATTCTGCTAGACTTGCGCTCAACAATGGCAAGGAAGACTCAGAAGTGTTCATTTTGAAAACTGCAGTAGTATATCCTTTTGAAAATACGCTTTCGCCAGTTTCTGTGGTAATGAGTGTGCCACGTGTGGCAGGCCTATGATGTAATACCCATCCAATAATATTATTTTTATAAAGACTATTCCATCCGGCGACAGCGATATTTGAGGCGAATTAGCTTCTTCAGTAAAGTTTTTTCTAAACTTTTTTGGCGAAAAGAAATTAGATACCACAGTATTTGTCAAAGAAAGGTGAAACCTTTGAAAAGAATTTTTTTTGTTTTGCTGCTGAGGTGCCGAATACGCATCTTTCTTTGGTGGAAAGAGGCCTGCAGATCCACTGAAGCTTGTTGTTACTTTGCTATTGATTTATCAACATCATAAGGTCGGGATACCACCCACCGACAAGGACGTGGTGCTGTCAAACTGTATAAGGATGAGGTGGAATTTTAACATCAGACTATTGGAGATTTGGCAAGGAGTACATAAACAAGTCTGGAAGTATTGCAGGTGAATCAGGTGAGATCATTATATTAAAAAGGAAGGAAGACGTTGAAAGTAGATTTACGCTGAAGAAGTATGTTTAGGGGTAGACTAGTCTGACCATAGCAGCTTCAACGGTACCTTGCAAGTGCTGGTTGTGGCAGATGTGCTCGAAGCTAGTGTTTGGTTCTTATTGGTCAAGTTTTTTTTCTTCGAAATTAGGTATGGAAGACGGGACGACCGTTAGCGGAAATGAACATTTGGATCTGAAGGGATTTTACAGGAGTATATGACGTACTAACCAATGTATTGGAGAAGTATAGAAATGTGAAAATGGTTTAGAAGAGTCAGTGATGGAAGTGGCAGCTTTGAACTGATCATATTTCATTATACTGATAGAGGCACAAAAAGCTTCAAAATATACGAGAAGTCTTTAGTCCTTACCACTTAAAATTCTGAAGGAGGCACGCGGTTATTTTGTAAAAACTTGTCGCATAACAGGTTTTAAGATTGAAGAAAGCCACTTTGGAGAACCTTGGAAAAATATGACTGAGAGATAGGGCTGGATGAAGAATTGAATTTTGGTATAGGTAAGGTACGAAGAACGGAGATAAATATTGGGGTTTTCCGACTGGAAAGGGGATGGAGACCATGTAATGCAGTATTTTGTTGCAATAAGGCATTTTCCTTTGCTGCGTTCAACTTGTTTGCCATAGCGTTCGCGTTGTAATTCTTTGTACCATTCTTTGTTTTCAAATTGTTCTTTGTTTGCTGTTACAGCAAGTACTTTGATGTCGTTAACGAACGCAGCTGCATGCCGCACATTTTGGGTCGTCAAGACGTCGGCCAGATCAGCTTCAATGCCAGCTGCGACCATACTGAAGCCTCCTCAGACGGACAAGGTACCGCCGAGCCCAGAAGAGTACAACCATTTAGATCCAAAAGGATGGCAAATGGGAGTTAGTTGTTTTTACCAAGTTACATAGTTTATCTAATTTTGTTTCTATTTGTTCTCCGCTGCCGACTGATATTGTTTTTAACGCTGATATTCAATTCTTACTGAAGGTTGGAGGGAAAATTCTGCCTCGGCTGCCTGAAGGAGCCAAAGTTGGAAGCCTAGTTATGGGGAAGTATGGACTTTATCATCCCGAAAGACGCAGACAAGCTTTATTGTTTAGGGTTTGTTTGAAACGTTTTATTCGCTTTCGAATTTTTCCACTAAAATAATACTGTTAGCTGTACATGATAAAAATGGGATATTTCTTGCAGGAAGCAATTGAAAAAGGAGGTAAGGCGCAAAGTGCCCGCCCGATCGACTTATTTTTCCTACGTATTCAGTGTTGCTTAGCAGTGGTATCATTTGCGTGTACTGTATGGTGTGTGACATGTCTTGTGCATGGAGCACCTATTTGGCCGTTCGAGCATCATAAAGTGCCTGGAACGAATTAATTGGCCTGAGTGAATTTTTAGGGTTTAGTGCGGTGTTTTCTCTTTAAAATTAATCTAGCTAGTTTTCGTGTACATTTTTTCAAGTGTCTTTGCTTCGTTTTCCTAAATATAGAAGCTCCATTTGAACTGACAGATAAAATAAATATTTCGTTGTCAACCGGTATTCTACTTCATTGATAGTATGGAGTTTTACTTACAGTACCTTCACTGCCGTACAACCTCATTTAAACAACTCCGACTGGTTTTTAAGAGAATAAATGGAATTTTTACTTGAAGCTACCGTGCTTGGAAATTTATCTCGACTTTGCTGTGCTGTTTTAGCTTTTTTTTAGAAGCCGATTTCAAAATGTTTTATGGCTTTCTAATATTTGTTTAATAAATTCGCATGGAAAATGTTAATTATATATTTATTTTTTTGCTGGGAGAGTACGTGGCATAATTCTCGTTAGGTTTTCGGCACTCGTAGTACTTGGCTTTTTTTGTGGTTTTCTCTTGGCAGCAGCTTGACTTTCGTTCTCAATTGAATGGTTTACTAATTTTAAGAAATTTAGTGGTATTTTTGTACTTTTTGGTTTTGTCGGGCTTTTAACGTAGAATATACCGTTGAAGCAAATGATGCTAGTCATTCCAACTGGTGTTGTGGAGGATTGATGCAGGCAAAACTTTTTCGTTCGAAGTTACTTTTGACAAGTTTGAGACGGCAGTTTGTTAGGTGCAAGAAATTTCAACGGGCAGTCTTTTAATTATTTTATGTTGGGACTGCATTAAAAAGTACCGGTGTGGGAGTAGAGGACAGAAGAAGAGGTATAGAGAGTTTTGCTTCCAGCGTGTTGTTTGGAATTTTGCTGGCATGAAGTAAGTTACCACTGGAACAGTTACAACTCTCGGGCATGTGTCTTGACACGGTCGTAGCATGCAGTGATTTATAGCTTTTCACATATTTGGAGTAGTCATTTTAAGAAGGTTTCTTAGTCATCATCTTGCTCTGAAGACTAGTCAATCAACCACACTTATCTGATTAGAAGCCATTAAACATTTCCTTGGGTTACGGAGCGATTTTGAAGCTGATTCGTGTCATGTGGGAACTCGCTGTGGTTCCAAAAGGCTTGTTTTACCTGGATATTTATTCCAGGATGAGCCTTTAAATAGTGGCGTGCTCTGGAAGTGGTTTACCTTGTTGTCTTAGTTCAGTTGAGGAGGGGAAGGTGGCTGAGCATTTTTTGAGGTTATTTAGCTTTATAAGTTCTCACATTTCAGCAAATTATGGTTGATGTAATGGCTTTTTTTTGTTAATTTGAAACGTGCGTTTTGGATTACTGAATAGTATTAACATCCAGCCCGATGTGGATATTCTTCCGTAGTTCGATTTGAAGGAACTGTTATGTCACCCGGAATTCAACTAAATATGAAACCTCACGGAGCCAGTCAACTCTGAAAAGTTCTCCTTAACTAAACTGGTACGGCTAAAGAGTTCGCACAGGAAACACAAACTAGCGCATAGCCAAAAAAGCGGTTGAATTCTCTTAATCGGACTGACCGCATTCAGCAGGCCGTCCTTAGAGTTTCCTAATGAATGTAAGGTTATTCCACAGTGAGCATCCAGAGTACGTAAAAGCCGTTACAGAATCATAGCACGTCATATTAACATGCGACGTTTCGTGTTCAGAAGATTGGGTTTGTTCAAAGAGAAGTGTGTTTCGCGTTGGATTTTTGTAGCTGTTGTCAAAAATCTGGCAGACAGTAAATCTTATCAGCATCATTTTTTTTTTTTCACAAAAAATTCTAGTTGGTCTCCAACAAATGCCCTTTGATTTGATTATCTGTATTTGTACAACGTTTTAGTGGCACTGAAAAGTCATAAGAATAGCAGTTATAACCGAAGACGAACAAGGTCAGGTGTACTCATGAATAGTTCTGACATTCTGATTGTCTTCAAAACTCGGCGACGATATGCAACCCTGTTCCTCTTCTGTGAGAGTTGCTATCCAAATGTTATCTTGTTGCCATTTTTTAACCCTTTAGCGCGCTTTCCGAAGGATTTATTGGCTCTTGGCAACGTAGTTTATACGACAATTCGTTTCGACATGTCTGATCTTGCGTAAAACAAAGAAATTATTTGATTGATTCTTTTCCTGTTTTGAAGGGGTGGCAAGTACTGATGACTTTGAGCAGACGATTCTCTCTGCAGCGGCAGACATCGCGTGAAAGTGACGGCTTGTGCAGTGCAGAAGCTTTTGAAATTGCAGTTGAAATGTCGTCTGGAGAGCCGTTGCGTTACTCGAATAAAACACTCAAGGATCATCTGATATTATCAGAATAGTAGACAGTTTCCTTTAAATATTGTTTCTAGAGCAGAAAAAAAAACCAGTCTTTTGTAGTGTAAAAAAATTTCTTATTTTCAGCGCGCTTATTTGCCAGGAGCCTGTTGATGGCCTTTACATAACTCCAAGCGAAAAAGATGTAACAGGTAGGTATTTCATGGGCGAAGATTCTAGGTTTTGTTTCCTTATCACTTGTTGGTGCTGTTCCACCACTTTTCTATGAATTTTATCATTTTTTTCACTTGTTCCCAGCCGTTGCTTTAATAAAGAAAAAGAAACTTGTC